CTTGGGATTAAGTTTCTACTCCTAAATCTGCCAAAGACATATCTTTAGTATGATAAATTAACCGATGTGGCTTCCAAAGGGTCAACCTGATCGAACAACGTTCACATCTTAAGAAGGGCAGATTGAACTTTTAGGCATGAACGAACAGGTTCTGACACTCATGTTACAAATTCGAACCGGAACTTTAGAGAAGCGAACGACTTAGGGTCAACTTCAACAAGGCGAGGCAAACATTGAAGAGAGTGCAAGCTTCTCATCATCCTCTGTAACACCATGTCTAATGGAATGACTTCCACGAAACAATACCTGGAAACAGTACAAACCTGAAAAAGGCTGAATATACATAGGTCTGGTTGATCAAAGCCTTCACCTGAACTGCAGTGTTATTCCGGAATAGAAGAAAAGACTTCACCCCATGGAGATGGAAACTGATTCTGGTGTGGTAATACACTCTTGTAGTGGCTTAGTAACATTAGTACCAATAATAAGAGCTATAGACTTGGAATAAGAAGTAGTCCAGGCACTATCAAAACAGAGGGAACAGAAACCAAACAGAAGTCTGAAGAACAGACTGGGAAAAGAAATTTCCCCGATAGAATAACCCAAAAAAAAAGGGAAAGATTTAATTCATTTGCCTTTTACACAGAAATCAAAAATACTCCAAACAGCTCTAAAGATCCAAAGATAAAAGGAAAAAAGGGGCCAAAAAAGTTGTGACCCTAAACCGATCTAAAAAATCTGTGCGGGATCATTTAACCAAAAAAACATTGGTTTTTTGAATGCCAAACCCAAAAGGGGTACTTTGGGGGGGCCTTTTCTGACTGGGCGGGCTCCTTAAATGGCCCCCTTTTTGGAGGGGCCCGCTTTGGGTTTTAAAAAGGTTATCTGTCTTGAATGAAATAGGTTTGAGTTAAAATTTGGGGAAAGGGTTTTGGGGTTCTCCCTTTAATTCGATGTCATTACTTCTACCTCGCCATCTGTTTCCCATCTGACCTATACCTTTTTTCTTGACATCTCAAGGTCTTCTTTCGAATGCGAGTGACTCTGCTGTTCAAAGTCTTTCAACTGATTCTGTAACATCCTGTAACTCCTGTTTAAAATTTTGGATCTCATTAACAGCAGGGCTTACACTTCTCTTTACATCCTGCAATTTGGACTGTTCGGAAGAGAATTAGAAGGAAAAGAGAAAAGAGGAAGAAATCTATCCCTGGTAAAGGTACCTGGATTATTTCACTCCCTTGTTGAGCCAACTTCATCTCCTCTTCAACAAGTCGCAAACTCTCGCCCTGAACCTTGTTATAATCAAGTTCCGCCTCAAAACTTCTGTACCTAGTGGCCGTTCTTCAAATCCTTTGGTTCCTTAGTCCAGACCACAATCTGTGGTGTCCTCAACTGTTTCACCCGTGTTTTCTATCAAGTTGATTGGCGAATCAACAAGAAGTGATGCTCCAATCGAAGGAATTATATCAAACAATTGATTCACCCTCCGTTGACTTGCAGAGTGAATTGCTCTTTCAGCCTTCTCTGTTGATGCCACGTTACCCATAAGGGTTGCATCCAAATTTCCGAACGATTTCATCCACAGTCCCCATCCCCAAGATGTAACCACAAACTGATCTGGGCCTTCCCACGGCAGACTCCCAATCGACCCCCAAAATGGAAGTTCAGAATACATACCGCTTTTGAGGGATACAGTTGACTTCAATACTTCCCAAACGACCAAATTTTCCACATCTTCTTCTTCCAAATTCCCTGAAAACTGCAGGTAATTTAGGAAAGTCTCTGTGGTGGGGAAAATTGTTAAAGGGCTCTAAAGAATCATTGGGGGGGAGAGAAGCAGACTGGAAAAGGGCTGTTATAATCCCCTTTAAACCCCGGGCCTAAAAATTTAAACAGATTTTCTGGGGAAGCTTTTTGCCAAAAAGGGGGAAACGAAATCAGGAAAAAAAAACACGACTCTGAACTTTTCAACAAAGGGGGCGAAAACTTTCCCTGAATTAGAAAGCCCAAACCAAAAAAGGGGTAAAACCCGGAGGGGAACCCAAACACGATTCTTTTTCCCGGTACTCCCTAAAAGGGGTTTTTGTGATCAGGGTCAGCATCAGTGGAAAATTGAACGTCTATCAGTTTAGTTTTCACTTTATCAAAAAAGTTTAACCAGAACTCAAAAAACGTTTTCAAACAATATTTTAAAACTAATCTCACGACTATTTTTTCCCCTAGGTGTGGGAAAACGTCAATTTTTCCAAATTTATAATAACTGACATAACGTGTCAACAAATCCACAACAACAACTTAGACTGATCAAAATAAATAAAATGAAGGGCACTTTTTACTTGAAATATTATTCCAAATAAAAAAACTTTCAAATGAAAATAAGATAAACTCAAAGTAATACACAAAAATAAAATTTTTGTTCACAAGATGGCACACATTGTACAACCATACACAAATATGGCAACTGAAATTTGTAATGGTAATATGTATATCTAGCAGAAGTTACACACCAGCTGAATTTTATTTACAAAAGACAATTCAGGCCTTCAGTAAATGAATAATTAAAACACACAAAATGATGTCCCATATTGTACACCAAATAGAAAATTTTTTTACAAACAAAATAAATAACACATAAATAAACTTTCAAATTTGCAGCTTTTATGTGCACCAATCAAATGTCTGTAAATGCAATCACTATATTCAATGGCTACGGTAATTTCTTTTACACTGTACTAACTTCTAAGTAGTTTTCCAATGTGAGAATGTGTGCATATATATAATATTCAAGTCCAGTACTGTATTCAAACTTGTTTAAGAAAATTGAAAATTGATTTTCCGCTACCAAAACAATTTTACAAGGGGGAAATTCAAATAACAATGAAGAACAATATAAGCACACACATTCCATATTGACTGCTATTCCCAAATGTCTTCAATTGAATCACTTGATTTTAATTTTAACTAGAGCACAATTTTCATGTTACTTTCCTGGCTAAACCAGTACTGTAAAAATTCACAACAAAAAATAGTTCAAAATTGTACCAACCTTATAATACCTGGTCCAAATTAGTTCGGAAAATTACTTCAATATTCCAATCTTCTCCAAAACTGATTTCGAATACCCCCAAAAAAGTTCTAAACAAAATACAATTGTCACTGCAATACACCGCAATTGTAAAATGTTTTGTTTTTATTTTCAAAAACAGTTCAATTTTAAATAAATGGAACAATTTTTTTAACGGACTAGAATATTTAAGTAATATAAGAGATTTTATCAAAAGGAGTATCTAATCCCTGTGATAAAATGTCAATTATTTTATAGTATTTCTTGTATTTTGATATTTATTAGGCTTTCACTGTTATGACAGAAGTACCAACAAGTTTGAACTAAACTATCATTACACTACAAGACTACATTACTGACTTTTTCATACTCAGGCACCTAATACAAAACATTTTCCAAAGACACATAAATTTTATGAAGTGTATGTGAGCCGCCAAAAGATTAATTAATTAATAAAAGCTTCCAAAATTAAATTTCTTCAAAGATGAATTTTTTTTTTTTTTTTTTTTTTTTTAATCAGGTAATAGTACAAAAGTATGTCACAAGCTTTTCAATAAAGTGGACTGTTAAAGTGGGGATGTCTTACAGGAGTATAGTAAGAATAAGACAATACAGATGGTAAAATGGAAAGAAATGGCTTCTAAAGTATAGTATCAGGGACCAGAAGAAAGATATGAAAGGGTTATCTCACCAATCACCAGTTACCAAAATGAAAATGTATTTATGCAATGATATCTGTTAAACTGTTAATGTAGTGCTCAGTGCCATGGTTGACTTCCACACAATATACACAACTTCAATGCCAAACAACCTGTCAAATATAAACAATAACTGTAAGAAATCTATGACAGTGAAGAAAAATATACAAATGAACAATACTTTTAAGATTGGTAACTACAAAGGATTTTTAAGAAATGTTATATAAATAAATCTATCTAAAGGTTAAATCACTAATTAATGTCATTCAAGTCAATGTTTATCACTGTAATCTCCTTCCAATAAAAATGTAAACAAAATGTCCAGAGGTAGAATTCAACGTTGAAAAATAAAGAAAATCCTGCGTCTGTTGAGTTTATGGCACTATGTGTGTTTCAATGTAGGTTACTGTATATTAAATAAAGAGGCCTATAATTACTTTAGAAAGCTTTCATTTGATTGTTAAAACAAATATAAAAATTTTCGATACAACATGCATGGACGGAATTCCTTGTTGACATTCACTATTGTGACGTAAGAAGGGTTTCCCAATTCTCATTGGCTGATACAAGGCGGGGAGACAATCCACCCGGAACTGAGTTCGTCCTCAAACTGTTTTCGCACCAAAACGTCCCAAATGTAACACTGGCCACGCAAATGTTTCACGAATATACGTGAGTTCTCACTCCTGGGAGGATAGGGCGTTCAAAGAGGAACCTGTAAATATATTGTTGGCACACAATAAAATATAAATACGGAGTCAATGAAAAACAACAGCTCTCGCTAAAAGTTTCTCATTTCTTGTGCTATTGATAATTCCAAGCGAAATACATACACATATCATAGTAATTCATGTTTACAACGTTTTATAACCTCAAATATACCTGTAAATATATTGTTGGCACACAATAAAATATAAATACGGAGTCAATGAAAAACAACAGCTCTCGCTAAAAGTTCTCATTTCTTGTGCGCATGCGTAAAGGTTAGCGTGACCGAATTCAAAAATGAAGTGAATGAGGCCCGTCAACGTGTTACAGGTCAAATGAAGTTATTAGTATGAAGTTGAATAATGATATGAATGATTGAAAAAGAGACGATAGGGGAATGATATAGAGTATGGGTATGAATTACAGAGTATTCTAGCAAGGACAAAATGACCCTGTGACACTGATACTGCCGCCTGTGCAAATAACCGCTTCTAGATACCGGCACCTAGTGTACTTAGTTCGTTCGATTAAACTTGTGTACAGTGAATTTAGAGTATAGAAAATCAAGTGTAGAAAGCGGTAAGTTCAAAACATTATTTGTTATTTTTGTTTTTTAAGTGACATCACGATGATATGTTGTTGAAAGACTAAATATAAGGTATAAAAAATCTAACTTCTCTATGTTTCTAGTAATTTCAGCATGATCCTTCATTGATAGGAGGCGAGGATTCGCTTTTAAATGTTACTAATAATTTAATTTGGATTCGTGCACAAAATGTTCGTGACCAAGTATCGTACTTATTGTAAGTGGGCAGGGGACCTAAAAATGAACAATTTTGTATTTCAGTGTGACCAGAAACCCAATTCTAAATATTTCAAAATCTGTTTCACAGGCAGATAACCAGTTGCACAGCATTATTCAATGATATATGACATACATTGAAGACAATAATAGTTTGCATGCATTGCTCCTTAAAAAAATGACTGACAGCAATTTATATTTACCCAGCCAAAATCACACCTAAAATATACCAATATGGGCAATCTTCATGAAGGTGCAGCATACTCCAGAATCCGCCCGATTCCTTTAAAAATATCACTAACACGCAGTGCAAGCTATGGCATTTTCAAAAATGACCAATAAAGTGTCTGTCATACATTTAGATATTTCACACAATTTATTCGAAATTTCGTAGTTGTATGGCGCCAACTGTCAAAGCTTGATTTTTAACTTTTTCACCTCCATTCGGAGAGTCAGATTCAGAAATACATATAAAGCTACCAAAATGCTTAGTTTCGGGTAAAAACCCCAAAATACTTCTCATTTCCTACTCACAAACAAGAAAGAATTACAATGACAGAGAAATGTAAGAAGTTTCCAGTACCTTCAAAACACCATGTCGTAAGTTATTAAAAATTTGAATACGTCCCCTGCCCCCTCATTAAAACGAAGCCATAATATAATCGATATTAGTTTATGCCCAAAGTTTTCAAAATTAACAAAAAAAAAACATTTGGAAATGCAAATATAAAATTTTATTTTATTGCAAAATTTCATCATCATCATCAAAGTTTTTAGTTCTGGCTCCAGTGATTTTCATACTTATATAGCAGATTCCGAAAAAAGGCCTTTTTCCCAATTGAAATTTTCTTTAAAATTTTGCAGTTTTCCCAAAAATCTGAACTTAAACCAGCTTTTTTACTTCCCAAATCAGCAGTTTTAGCAACAATTTTTCCCAAAATCAAGAGGCTAAGGCCTCTTCCCAATTAAGTGAGAAAAATCATATAAAGTTATGGAAGCCATCCATAACTTTATATGTCGCTTTTATTTGTGCAACAGTAAAGTTGTGGGTCAAGCCTATTTGCAAAGGCTACCAGAATTTTGGCAGTTCGTGAGCAGTACATAAAAACCTATTAAAATCAAGTTTGGGTCAAATAAAAATACCATTTGATAAACAAATCAATTTTGAATCAATTCATGTTTTGTTTTTAAATGAAACTTCAATGACATTGTGTACCCAACTATTTGTTAGGGAAATATGTAGAGAATGTTTACCAATATGGAGTCTGCTTTTTAATGAAATCTCGCGGGATTACAAGTTTTGGGAATTCTAGCATCTATTTTAAGTAACGGACAAACACTATTTTTAGTGAGGGTACGATTTTTAATAAAGACAAACAAATAATTCATGAATCACCACTCAAGACAATATAAATTCAACATGTTTTAGATACAATGTCTGTTATTGAATAAATATACTGTTATTCATAATTGCAAAGCCATGTTTTCAAATAACAAGAGCCACCGCCGGGCGGGGGCAACGCTCAACTTTTTACTTTCTCTAAAAGCAAACAAAGAAATGTTTGAACAAAATCTTAACGTTTCCTTTTTATAAAATTAATCGGTCTGTCTTGTCACATAAGTTTTGTCTATATTTTTTGTATATATAAATATACTAACTTATATATATATATATATATATAAATAGAAACACGCAATTCTATGAAAAGAAAATTCTATAAATAGAAACATGCAATTCTATAAATAGAAACACGCAATTCTATAAATAGAAAATTCTATAAATAGATACACGTGGGGGAGTCACGTGGTGACACATGGTGGTGTCACATGGTTGACATGTGGTGGTGTCATGTGGTGGAGTCACGTTGGTGGAATCACGTGGTTGTGGCACGTGGTGGTGTCTTGTGGTGGTGTCACGTGGTAAAATCATGTGGGGGTGTCACGTGGCCAAGTCACGTGGTGGAGTCACGTGGTTGAGACAGGTGGTGGTGTCATGTGGTGGTGTCACATGGGTGATGTCACATGGTGGTGTCACATGGAGTCACGTGTTGAAGTCAGGTGGTGGTGTCATGTGGTGGAGTCACGTGGTGGTGTCACATGGTGAAGTCACGATAAACAACAAGGTCTTGTCCTTAAGTATGTTCTGTTATGATATGAAGTTGATCCCTTCAATAATAGCAAAGTTACAGCCAGTTACAACAAAAACAATGAAAATTTCAATAATTTGAACTTCAAAGTCAAGGTCATTAATGAGTGAAGGTTAAGGTCTGTCTGGTTTTTTTTAAGGGTTATCCTTGAAGATTATTATGTTCAAGTTTGAAGACAATCCATTCAAAAAGAACAAAGTTACAGCCAATAATAGCCAAAAAAATGAAAATTTCAATAATTTGACCTTCAAAGTCAAGGTCATTTATGAGTGAAGGTCAACATCTGTCTGGTTATTTTTAAGGGATATCCTTGAAGATTATTATGTTCAAGTTTAAAGACAATCCATTCAAAAATAACAAAGTTACAGCCAATAACAGCATGAACAAGCAAAATTTGGATATTTAACCTTGAAGGTCAAGGTCATTTATGGATGAAGGTCAAGGTTAGTGTGGTCTACTGAAAGGTCTTGTCCCAAGGGTTGTTGTGGCCAAGTATGAAGACAATACACCAAGAAATGAAAAAGTTATGATCCAGGAACAAGTTTGCGGACGGGAACGGCAACGCCGCCGCGACTATAGCAATACCTCTACTTTTTTTTTTTTTAAAAAAAGTCGAGCTAAAAATAGCATTTGGGTCATGCAAAGGTATCCAAACCTAAATTCTCATTAGTCATGTGATAATTAGGGCAGCAATGGCGGCGAATTTTATGAAATGTGAACCCACTGATAAACTTTGAGGCAATATTTCATCAATTATTTTTTCAAAAAATTTTAGACTGAAGTTCCCAAAAATATTCTAACTACCTGTTTTAAAAATATTTTTTGCCTGACCAAAAATATGCAAATTTTTATTGAATTACAGCATGACATAACTATGTCACAGTTCTGGTTGACTTTCGATACAGGATTGGCTTCAGCGTGTATCAGATTGTGAGTGGTCCAACTTAATGTATTAAGTAACATTATTTATTAAATTTAAGTGATTTTGACCCGTACTCGGCTGGCAAACATGTATAAGTCTATGTTTACGTACCAAATTGTTGTGCCACAATTTTGTCTACCAAGGATTTTTAGCATGAATGCGCTCGTTTGCTGATAGATATTTCATGAACAGGAAGGACTAGAGACTTGTGGTTGGTCTCATTTGGAAGCTTAATACAAGCATGAAATAGTGATAAAAGTTTTTTTTTAATTGTCTGGACAATTGTTTTCAGAACGGCCCGGGCAATGAACCCCTTGCTTGTAGACTCGAGTTTCCGGCCTTTTAACTTACACTACAGTAGAGTTTTTTTTTGGTTTTTGACACATTTAAGATGAACACAAAATTACGATGAACACAGAGGTTTTTTTATCAATGTGGTCATATTTTCTTCCCAGGTCCGATACTCGTGCCTGTGGTTTCACTGTTTGGAGTTCGTCTGGAGTTTGGATGCGAGGAATTATGTCAGTGATGTAATTATGCACATCTGAATGACAAACATGGATCTTATCAAGCGATAAAATCACAGTTTGGATATATTATTTCGATTCTAACACATCCTCAAATAAATGCTGTCTTACTTGATATAGAGCTAAATTGTGATTTGTTTCCGTACTTATTTTCAGCGCGTCACATTTTTAGTGGTTGCGTCACGTGTATAATGATTACGTCATGAGTCTAAATATAGAACGTCAAACAGTGATTTTATTGCATAATAACACACACTGTCAGTTCTTCTATGTTCAATAAGGAAAAATGCGGGTCGTGTTAGAATGCTTGATTGATTACAAAAACATGTTTGACACTTTAAATCTTAAATTAATAATTCATTATCTTTTGATCTCTTGAACTTTTAATATTAAGATATATGTTAATGTCTGTAATGGTGTAACAAACAATTAAGGCACTTTAGTGTTTGAATTTATTTTTTGTCCAATAGAATTGCAGTATTTCAAGTGAATCGTAACTCATTTAACTTGTTTACAGTTACTTTGGTAAATCAGCTAACTGTTAATTAGTCTAATAAATGGACTGTTTATAAAATTAATTTAAAACACTAAGCTTGTTAAATGTTATTAGTACGTATTTACAGAATTAAATTGGTCGCGCGGCTGTGTTGGTGCCAAGTTGGTATAGACACAGATATATAAACAACGGATAGAAAACTCTGAAAATAGACGAGATTCCAATTCAGACCCAAAATCCTTTGCGCGCGTCGGTGATAATCGGGCTTTCCCGCTAGTCTCCGATTTTCACGCTATCGTTAAACTTCGGCAATATCCGTGAATTATGGCTTACATTGCCAACATGGATTTTCTTTGGAGAAATAATTGTGTGGAAAAGAGTGTTTTGTACGTTTTAGAATAAATAACTATTGCTTCTTATATAAGTAAAAAATGTTTAGCCTTTTTTGTTGATGTACCTCCGGGAATTCAGTATGGCTGTGTTTTGGCTACTTTTACCCAGGATGCATCGAATCTCGCAAAATCTAACAACATATGATAACTTGCGGGAACACAACTCCGCCGAAACTGATTTTCACTGTGTGACGTCACAGTTTCTCTCCATCTTATATTTAGTTCCTTGGTATAGGGGCATGATGACTCGGAGCCAAGTTAGTTTTGGCCGAGTTGACCCGGCTTCGTCATCTTGGCCCTATACCAACTTGGCCAATATTTTATATTACTCAATATCCTGGTAATGATAAATGTTATAAATAAAGTCTACAGAACAAAAATCATAAGGAATAATTTCTCTCACTGGCATAAAGTACTAGTGTACTGTATTTTTATACATAATTTGTTTCAGACCATGAAGCGTTCATCTTCATCAGATAGGTCTTCTTTGGGGCCGTTGAGGATACGAAATCAAGAAAGTTCGAGAAACAGTAGAAATTCAGTATCAAGTTCAGGTATGAGAAAGAGATCTCAATAAAACACTACTGTAACAAGCATTCATATATAATGGTGATTTTACACCAGTAACTCAGATTAAAGTACTTATGTAATATAGGAGGAACAAGCAAGAAATCTTTCTATATTTTTTTATGCAGCGGCAAGGCTGAGTGGTTCATATGTTAAGACTATAGATATAGGATGTTTAGCTGTGTGGGTTCAAACCCTATTTGGGGGCAAGATGTTTTTTGCTTCAGAAACTTTACACTTATTGCTCAGCACTGGTTGGTTCCAGGAACAGATTAAAGAGTGTGCCTTTAAGCTTAAAATAAAAAGCTTCTTACACAATCAAACTAAAATAAATTCTGTGTAAATGAAATTGATTTTTGTTGTTTTTTTTCTAATGTAAGATATTAAATGTATTTTGATATTTGTAGATTTAGTTGTAGTTTATTTTATAAATTAGATAAAATCATGGATTTATTACAAAAATGCATGAAGTCAAGTTCATAGTTAACATTCATTTCAATACATGATTAATATGTTTTGAAAACTTTAAAGATAATTAATGTTATTCCGGGGGTATTTTGCAGCTCGACCATCTAAAAGTGGCAGATCATTATCTGGTAACAGAATGTCCACTGGTGGACGACCTTCAATAGGACCAGGAGGCGGCCCATCAATTTCAAACAGTCGACCATCTATGTCTGGTAGTAGAAAGTCTATGTTACAGATTCCTAGGTTTGGTCACGCACAAAAAATTGATAGGACGTTTGAATGAAGTCTATACATGAATTTGAATTAAAATTTGAATTCCTAAAAAATGTCTTTCGCATTGTCATGTTGATAAATTAGAAAATATTGTATGTGAATCAAACTTTTTAAATCTTTATTCTTACAGTTAAGTCCATTGATAAAGAAAGTCCAGAAAACTTTATCTTCGTCACAATATTGTTACTATATTGTATAGAGTTATGCCCCCTTTTCACGTGGAAAATATTTTTAATTAATTATATAAATACCAATATCTTGAACATTCAAAATCCCAAACATTGAAAGTTACAGGGCTTAAGTTAATGGAAGTTTGGGAGTCATTTAAATTTTGGCTTGTGACTTCCAAAATCTAATACTTTTCCTTCTTTACCTATATAATGTGACTTCCAATATCAAACATTGTGCAGTCTCTGACTTCCAAATTTTGAAACTTAATGGAAGCCCTGAAGTTACTCATATTGTTGAGAAATTAAGTGCATAACAACCATAATACCACAACACTCTTGAATTTATTTTTCATTGTTGCCTTTAAGCAACAGTGAAGCATTGGTATTTGCAATATTTGTGCATTGTGTTTAATATTTGTCATGTTAGGTTGTCTAGAGGAAGTGGTATAGGAATGAGAAGTAATGGTGTCCCAAAAGATCCAAGACCAGTGTCAGACAAGTCTTATCAGCAAAAATCTATAAAGATAGTATTAGAGGTTAGTTTTGATAATCATATAACTATGTAATATATCATACTTTTCTCTAATTCTCAAACAAGATATTAAGAATTTGATGAAATAAAGTACACTCAAAGCCAAACAAAGGACAGCTCAACCTACACTGTAGAATATCTTAAATTTGTGTTGTTTAAAATTTTGCACTTTATGTCCAAAAAGTGTATTTATCTTTGTTAGCATGTTCCTATATTTGTGTCATCATCCTACTTGAAATGAAAAGTGTTGCTGAATAAAATAAGATATTCGCAGTTTGAGGCTATCTTATTTATTTATGTTAACTATTAATAAGAGGTCTGTTTGAGAATATTAACGTAAACTAATCTAACATGAATAAAACCTGTTCTACAGTATGCTGTCAGTATTAAGGAGTGGCATTTACGTTTATATTGATTTATAATTTGGTAAATATAAATCTCCCTTTTCCAAAGGACTGGATACCATTCAGCAAAACTATAACTTCAGCAAATAATACAAGGTGTAAATGGTAGTGTAACACATGATGAAAGTCTGTCTGGATTACAGTAAGCACTGGACAGAAAAAGAGTCAAGATAAATGTTTTTTAAAAAATATCTATATTCATGATTATTATATGAATTTGATTACAGTATGACTCTTATAACAGAATTTTTAACGCTTGTCTTCATGAAAAATAAAAAGATGTTTGAATTATTTTCAGAACTGCTTAAAAATGATACTTTCTAAAAATAAACAAAAGGCTGATTATGTCTATAGATTTGGATTTCCAGAAAAATGAATAAGTCAGCAGAAAAAAGTTGAATGATTGTAACACATTGTAAAGATGATTATCATTTGTTAGCATTTTAGTTTGAAATCTGTCAAAAATCAATCAAACCAAGTCTGCAATTTTCATGTAATTTTGTTGTGATTAATGCTCCTGAAGGATGACTTCCTCCAGATCTTTGACAGATTATATAAGTTGATTAGCTCTTACAAATGAGCTTTAGTAGTTTAAGGGGAACACATGTCAATCAAACATTGTCATTTCTTTTCTGTCTTCAGTTTTTAACTGAGCGAGGATATCCACACAACATTACATTAAAAACTTTGCAGTCCCCAACATCAAAAGATTTCTTCAAAATATATGAGGTGAACAATTTATTCTTTCATTACTTCCTTTGTTTCTAATGTATCATGTACATATATACATGTATGTAAGTATAGAATATTGTGCATCAAGAAAGAAGCATGAATATATATTTTCCTTACATTTACATATCATATATTAAGATAAAATCATAAATAGATCAAAACCTACACAATTTATCAAAACATGTTTCGCTTTAAAATCAGTTGATCATCATTCTAAACTTTCACATAAGTAATTGTTATTTTCACACTTGTTGAATTTATTTAATATCATATGTTACTAATTGCTATTGAAAAAAGATCATTCTTACTTGATTTAAATGAAAACACATTCAATTGTACCTGGTACATGTATTATTTTTTATGTAATTACCTATTAGTGTAAATGTTTGATATTAATGATACTTTCTCAGTGTTGCATCTAGAATTTCAAAATTATGGGGGATTGTCCCCCACTCAATTGAAAAATGTGGGGGATTTGAAAAAGATGTGGGGGACATACATTGACCTTACAATATGACATACCGAATAGAGTTCATTTATTTTACATTCAGGCATTTTTGACAGCTATCGTTCGCTCAAAAACGGAAGTAAGAAAAATAAAATATTGACGAATACTACAAAACACACGCGAGATGACTTAGTCGGCTGCTACACGCGATTTAGTACGTATGTTAGTCATAACCACGAGTGAAAACAAACATGGCTGAAGCGTTTAAGATACGATGAAGATAAACTGAATTAAGTTGAAAAGATTGTCAGATGCGGGACTTGGCGCGCACTGACTTCAATAAAATGCGCGATCTGCATAAAAAATGCGCAAATCGCGCAATCGCGCGGCCTAGATGCAACACTGCTTTCTATAATTATATATTTATGAAGAGTTATTATGCAAAGTTTACATGTTATTGCTCTCTGTTCTATTACACAGTTTATCTATGGATTCATCTCGCCTAAGTACAAGCTCTCGCCTAAACCTGAAGAAGAGATTCCGCGAATCTTGAAGTCAATCGGCTATCCATTTCTGATATCTCGAACATCTATGTTTGCTATTGGTAGTCTCCATACATGGCCTCACATTCTGGTAGCCTTGACCTTTCTCATTGAACTTATTAATGTAAGTATTGTTTATATTTTGATACTATATATGTGGATATTTCCATGTGTCTAAAAGTTAACAAATTTAAAATTCCATTTCACATGAGGAAATATTAGCGAATCATGCAATGGTAGAATTTGATGACGGGTTGGTTGATATTCACACTACAGGAAATTTTTGCAAATTTTGTCAATTTGCAAAATTCGCCAACTTAAACACTTATACAGTATTTTATTTTGCAGAGGAAACACTAAAAGAGCCTTTAGAGGTAGAAAATATATCTCCTGTTTTAACAGTTTCACATTTTAAGATGTTTAAAGTATTGTAAAAAAAGAACTTTTGAATTAGAAATATATGTTATTTGCAATGTATATGTAGTCAATGTGTAAACAAGAGTGACTGGAGAGAATTGTATTGCTCCTGGAAAAAAATAGGGGGTACTACCAGTATCTAGTTTTTTGTTTGTCCCGTCCTTTGATTATACATGCTTCTTTTTAATAGCATGTTCTTATATTGAGGATACATTTCAAAATTTGATTAATGAATATTTCTTTGTTAAGCCAACTAATTGTTGATTATGAAAAGAAAGAAAGAAAAATAGTGATCCTGTATCGTGTTAGTTTTTTAGCATTAAATGAAAAAAATTGCTGTGTAAGGAACAGAAAAGTAACATGTATCAAAACAGAAAACTGTTGTTTCAGCCAGAATAGTTCAAAGTTTGATATTAGAACTGATATATAGTTGTATGGCATTTTGTTTTATAGTATGGTATGGCATTTTGTTTTACAGTATGGTATGGCTATAGGGGAGCATATGGAGAATATGATGTTTCCACCAGATGATGATGGTTTTGATAGTGACACTATGTCAGAGGCTCAGGTAAACAGGCTTCTCTCTTGTCCAGGTTTTCTGTGTCACTGACATTGGTTTTTGTCACAACAAATTGAGAGTCTTGCATTGAGCAATTAAAAAAAAAAATCTAAATTTACTTTATTTATGACCATAATTATGAACATGTCATTTATTATTTATTTTATATAAAATAAAGCACAGTCTGATTTTATCCAGTCCTTGATATGTATTATATTTTAAATGGAAGATGAAATGACACCAGTTCTATACCAACTTTTCATTATGTTAATAATTTTTACTGCTGAAAAATTTAAATAAGTTAAATTTTTTACTGACAGTCACAATTAATGATTATGTAAAATTCATGAAATCTTGTGTTTTGAACCAAAACTCATAAAACTCAGTAAAACACAGCAGTAAAAAATAACCCATTTGATGTTTTGCCTGAAATTGGAACATTTTCATTATAAGTTCAGTTGTTCCAATATCAAAACACTAACATAGAGTGGCTAGCGGTATTGATTCTAGTATAATTTTACAACATTGCAGACTGACCCTACTCCAAACAGGTAGTAGGTAGGTAATGATCGCTGGTAGCTGTTGTATTCACCACTGTGTCAACATTGGCATCACACTTTGGTTAAGTTCTTGTGTGCAAGTTAGTATTGCCAAAACTATAAAAGGGAATAAGTTGAAACTTCACAAACCTCTTTGACAGCATAATAGGAGGTCTCTATCAAAGGCCCATAACTCTCACATGGATTTTGACAGAATTATTATTTTTTAAAATAGATAATTTTACATTATCCTGGCTTTCACTATCAAGCACTTAGAATAGTTGAACACACTGCCCTTTTTGTGCTTCAAAACTACTTAAAGGAATTAGTTAAAATTTCAAACACTTGTTCCTTGTGATTATGATGGGCAGAAATCATACCTTTTAACAGAGCTATGCCCCTTTTCTTACTGTCGACCACTGAGAATAGTAAAGCTCAGCTTTTGTTGTTTGTAGAAATATTCTACATTATCTTTGTTTAATTATCAAGAAATAAGATTATTTACACATGATGTTTGTGTTTATTGTTTTGTCTCTAACTAAAGAGATATTTGTTGCTATATTTTTCAGATATTTTACCAGTATGTATGTAGTACATACCACTCGTTCATGTTGTTGTGATATTTTTCAGATATTTTACCAGTATGTATGTAGTACATACCACTTGTTCATGTTGTTGCTATTTTTTTCAGATATTTTACCAGTATGTATGTAGTACATACCACTCGTTCATGTTGTTGCTATTTTTTTCAGATATTTTACCAGTATGTATGTAGTACATACCACATATTTTACAGATATTTTACCAGTATGTATGTAGTACATACCACATATATTTCAGATATTTTACCAGTATGTATGTAGTACATACCACATATTTTTCAGATATTTTACCAGTATGTATGTAGTACATACCACATATTTTACAGATATTTTACCAGTATGTATGTAGTACATACCACATATTTTTCAGATATTTTACCAGTATGTATGTAGAACATACCACATATTTTTCAGATATTTTACCAGTATGTATGTAGTACATACCACTCATTCTGCTATATTTTACAGATATTTTACCAGTATGTATGTAGCACTCGTTCATGTTGCTAAATTTTTCAGATATTTTACCAGTATGTATGTAGTACATACCACATATTTTTCAGATATTTTACCAGTATGTATGTAGTACATACCACATATTTTTCAGATATTTTACCAGTATGTATGTAGTACATACCACATATTTTTCAGATATTTTACCAGTATGTATGTAGTACATACCACATATTTTTCAGATATTTTACCAGTATGTATGTAGTACATACCACATATTTTTCAGATATTTTACCAGTATGTATGTAGTACATACCACATATTTTTCAGATATTTTACCAGTATGTATGTAGTACATACCACATATTTTTCAGATATTTTACCAGTATGTATGTAGTACATACCACTCGTTCATGGATGGCAATGATGAATATTTGGAGGAAGACAATCTTCTCAGAACATCATTAAGTAAGTTACATTTTCAGTTTTTCTGTACATGGGTAAAACTGTTTAAATATTATAAAACAGGCTCAAACTTTAACTATGATACATGTTTCATTGCCAGTAGGTAACTTTAATGGTTTTGAGGCCATTAAAGTCATGGTCATAGTATATCTTTGTGTAAAATCCTTATCCAATTAATAATGTCAGAAGGAATTTTTAGGAGTTTTTTTAAACTCTACATATGTCTCTACAAATTTAATGCTGTATCAGACTCTAGAGAGTCAAATTTCCATAAGTTATTACAAAAGGAGATACTTGAACGGTAGGAGCACCTAATGTCCTCATATTCCAGTAAAGCAGGAAAGTCACTATATGACTTTTACAGTGTTGGTGCGACATGAAACCCAACCAAAACAACAACAACAAATTTAATTGTAGAATATTGTTGCATTTGAATATTTAGATTTGCTATCAAAATTTAAGATAAAAATTAATGTTTGTTTTGTTATCAGGACACAAGTTTTTAGGGGCAGGTGGCATTGATGGTCTAATAGAAGAAAACAATGCACTAGAACAACAGTTAGAACTCCTCGAGAAAGATCCTGTAAGTTATATTTTATGGCTAGTCAAAATATTTTAAGAACTGTCAGAAGGGGATTTTATAATTTCTATATTTTTTTTAGTTTGCACTATAACAACCATTTTTAGGGAAGAAATAAGTCAGTGTGAAGTCATTTTATAAAGTCTTTTGTTTCTACAATTTTGTTTCAAGGTCTCAAGGTAATTATACCATATGACACTACTAATCTGATCAGTAAAAATTTTCTGCTGTGGACAGTTTATATTCTAAATATACAAAGGATATGTACACGTATGAAACAAGTATAATGGGTATTGTACTCTCCCATAAAACACTTAAAAATGTGTTTTTGTAGTTCTTTGATACAGCATTCAAGAAGTTGATAACTGTATACAATGAAAGATTTCTGTTCTGGTGTATTAATCTATATTGTTATGTCCATGCATGGATTTTGTGGTTGTTATTCAGTTGGAAATGATGACATATGAATATATATATATATATATATATATGCTGAGGCATGATATAAAACTATTGAGAATTTACTTTACCTTAGGTGATAATGTAACTATTCTTTTTCTTTTGAGAAATATTTAACATTTCTTGTCTGGAAAATATGTTTTACAACACTTCTCATAAAATGATGTCAGCTTGCCAGCTTTGATTTGAATCTTGGTATGCCAAAGTCCCTTCAATTTCAATGTATCAAAGTTTAACTGTACACGTATACTAAAACATGTGCTTTTGCAAGGAAAATGATGATACAAATCTTTCTGCAATTTTTAGATGCTCACAAAAATTTGCAGCTTGGTCAGGGCTCTTTAGGCATGTGATTTGGCATAACTTACTCCAATAATAAGATAAGTAAATAAATAAGTAAAAAGAGAAATACATTTAAGCAAAGATTTCTGCTGTTTGTTGTAGGACCATTTAAAGGCAGCCAATCAGAGATTACAATTGTTACAACATGATGATGAAAGACTTGTCAGTTACCTCAATGAGTTAGAGACACATAAACGACAACAGGAACAACAACTGACCGAGGTCGAGGAACTTTGTGCTAATCTGGGTATGTAACACTTTAAAACATAATGTTATCAGTCAGCAAGTTCATTTTAGCATACAGTTACAACAGTATGACATTTGCAAATGTTAATTAAAGATTGGGACAAGCTATTTTTGGCATTTAAAATGATATAGAAATGTTTGTTTATTTTAAACATAGTGATTCATGTGTTGAAACTAGCTAGCTTTCAGATGACTGGTATTTCTACCCAGACTAGAAAAATAATGTTTTATACTTTCTTTTCCAGTAATGCTGGATAGCAGATATCATATCTTATCATCAACTGTTAGATTTTAGACTCACTGGCAACTGATATTAAATTTGAAAAACCCTTTCCTTTCTTTTTCTGTTGTGTGCCTTCTCAGATTTTAATTCCTAAGACATAAGTTTCTGCAGAGCAATATTGATTTTGCCTTTGCCACTAGTTGCAAGTCAGGTTAAAGTTAGTCAGGTTAGGCTGCTTATATGTGTAATCTGCCTTTAGGTTGAATTGTCCTAAAACTGTCCTAATTAATAACGGACAGTTTTATAATCAAGCATTTGTTTGTAAAAGTTCAAGTGACCATCAGCTTTTATTTTCTGTTGGAAAAAATTTCTGAGTTGTTTCAAACTAAGTATTTTATTAATTTTATCTTGGAAAGTGCATCATAACTGTTAAGCCCAATAAGCCGTCTTCAAAAACGTGTTATGTTCATTTCTAAAAACAGAAGATTAGGAGACAAAACATCTGTTTTACTAATTTAAATATAGAGAGCAGACTGGTAGATAAGAAGTATCGAGGGGTTTCCTTATTGTTTATGTATTCTATTGTCTGCAACTTTATTTTCCACCTTAATCCTTCTAATTTGGCAATTATACGAAACGATCGGCAATTATAAGAAACAATTTATCTAAAAAAAACATATTTTACCTTTAGAAAAGCTGAAGGCCCCTTTTAAAAATGTAAGATTGTTAATCTGTAATTAAAGTTTTAATCATTATATATTTCTGCAGAAATTAACTTTAAGTGTCTAAGTAATACTCACAAATATTTCTTGAAACTAAAAATGTAGCAATAGAACTGGAATCAGAGAATGCGAAGGTATTAAAAATGCAGTTAATGTACGAGAACCAGGAGTTTACCCAGGAAGATGTGGAACGTATTAACATGAGAACACGAGAGCTAGAGCGACAGAAAGCCGACATTGAGAAAAATATACAGGCTGTAGATGAAGATATCTGGAAAGAGGAGATAGGACTCTCAAAAGAAGTTGAACAGGTGATTCTTTATTTTAGTTGCCATTTAATCTGTTGTGTTTAGATTGTTTGTGCTTTAATTTGTGAAAAATTATTTCTTTGTGCTTTAATTCTTGAAAAATTATTTGATTGTGCTTTAATTCTTGAAAAAATATTTGTTTGTGTTTCAATTCTTGAAAAATTATTTGTTTGTGCTTTAATTCTTGAAAAAATATTTGTTTGTGTTTCAATTCTTGAAAAATTGTTTCTTTGTGCTTTAATTCTTGAAAAATTAGTTGGAAATAGAATTGTCTGTATTCTCATCCAAATGCTATTTAATTTCTCTTTTGGGATGAATTGACGAAAAGGAAAGATAGATAATAAACTGGACATTAAGATGAGTAGTACTAACAACTCTAAGATATTTTGTTTGCCATTTAAACTCATTGAAAAAAATATTTTGCATTCTATGTTTATATGATGCAACAATCAACTTAATAGAACAATATTATATTATATATAATTACTTATTAGCTTTCGTGTTATTTTCAGATCCAGTCCAAGTGTCAAGCATATAATAAACTAGCTCACAGTTTGAAGCTTATCCCTATTACAGCTGAAAACTCTTCTGGTATTGACTATGAACTGAAGAAAACTGCCTACACTGATGGCACTTTGTCCAACTTCCAAGATATTATAAAGGTTTGATATATACATCTGTGCATTTTCAAATGAACATGGTAGGCTATTGCCTTTAAAAATGCCTTTACTAAGATGGTGAAGATTGACATTGTGTTTAAAGTACAGAAAATAGGTTTTATTTAACTTTAGAAAATGTTTTCTGTTTATTATTTATAAGTATTGCTGGACATTGAATGACTTTTTGCAGTATCTAATATAATTATATGTTATTTGATATATGCTTATATGTCTGAATTGCTTGTCATTATGGCAAGTAACCTTGATGTTATATACATTTGTGCCCATCCTTTATTCTACCTGCCACATATCAAAAATCATGCGAGGGATAGTAGATGGTCACTTGCGCAGAAATTGGTAATCACTGGTCAGTTATCCAGGAAAGCCATTTAGGTGGACCTTTCATAGATATGTAACCAAAAATTTGTAGAAATTTTTGTAAAGCTGAATAAAACATCATAATATTGCTTGTGTTGCATAGACTTAAACAATGTGACAGCAGGAAAATTCAGATTACCTGCCTGTATTATTAAAGAGTATGATATTGCTGGTTTAACGATACTATGTTTCTGATATATAATATATAATTGGCAACACAAATAGTCATACCATTGTAGGGTCATTACAAATATAACTTGATCAAGGACTTTCAGTCCAGACCAGACAATTTTGATTTCTATGTAGGTAAGTCAATGTTTCGTAAGGAATGCATCAGTTATGATATATGTTATTTTATTGTTACAGCCTGCATTGATAACCCTGAAACAACAGTGTGCAGACACTGCCAATCGTCAGAACTCTGAAAAGATCAAAGTAAAGGAGCAATTAGAACAGGTAAAGTTTACCAACTAAATAACAAGGTTTGAAATAGTTGTTAAGGGTTTCAAAATAAGGACCATTGTTCTTATCAGAGGATGCAAAGATCCCTTAGCAATAAGATACTCACATGTTAACATACTTAAAATTTGTATGAAATGTGGTTTTACCCAGGTACATGATTGTGTCTGAAATAAAGCACAGAGAGGCATCCAAGGTGTCACTACACCAGTGTAAGCTCAGCTTGGGGACAAGTTTCAATATATGTAATGGTGTGTTGTGACAAAGTGAAAATAAAAACATGCACAGAAGAAACAGATAAGGGGATAAATCTGAATGAGACGGCTATTGCAACATTAGTTTGATTGCTGTTAGTAATAAGTAACTTGTCAGTGCCGCCCGCATAAAGTACATCAATGTAATTTGACTTTTTTTTTTTACCATTTCTTGCTATTTTTAGCAATGGCATTTAAACTTTTTACATGTATTACAATAATGAACATTTCCATATCCATAGCATGTCAATTCCATTATATGAATTGAGGTGTGTTAATTTAAGTGAGCATTTTAATGTAAATATATGTAAATCCGCATTGTATTTGTTTATTTTCTCTCTATATTGTTATAGATGATGTATATAAAATGTATTGCAGGCATCAGAGTATGTGAGTGATCTACAGAACGAGGTTGGTTTATTGGAGAGTAAATATAAGAGAGCAGAGGATGAGGTGGACGCTAAGAAACAGGTGTTGTATTTGACATGTAACATACATGTCTCATCATTATATTACTCAAAGACAAATTATGCTGTTTTTATGATCTCAGTTTTTAGTGTAACATAATAATTGTTTCATCTTGTTGTAGTTGTAACTTCCAGTAACATTTGCTTAAGTTGATTGGGTCAAGATTAATGCCAAAAGGCTAAAGACCAAAATTTTCTAGTTCAGACTCGGATCTCCATATTTGATCGGCCAGAAACCAGGGCAACATTTACACTGACCAACTAAAATCCTGAGATTTGAGACAAAGCTCAAAAAGAAAAAAATTTATAAGTTTTCATACTTCAGTTTAAAAATATGATTTTAGTATTATTGAAATGACATCTGGAGATTTCAACAGGACTAATCATTATTCTTATATGTTTTTATTATGTATATGAAGATGTCAGTGCTACTTTGTATATTGTATTCAATATAGATAATTCTTTTCGTAATTATGATATTATAAAGGGGGGGAGGGCATTTTATAGCATTAACATAAACATTAATCTTCATCTTAAAAGCTGCAGTTATCCAATGGAATTGAGTCCATCATAAATTTACGAAAAAGATATCAAATCAATTTTGAGTGCTCGAAGAATAATTCATGGTTCGAGTTCAAATTCGAAGGAATATAGTGATGTCGGCCTATCAGCCTGAGTGAATAATAACAAAGCATTTGAACAATAAACTGTGCATTATTTAGAAAATAAAAGCATTTTTTTTTTATTGAAGTCATGTCAGCATTTGTTTTTTATTCTGTACATATATTGTGTAATAATGCACTTGATTGCCCTATCTGTTTGTTAGGAGACTAGTGTCAAGCATGTTAGAATTTAATGTTTTATCCTAAGGAAGTTCATTTTGTACTGTTATCACTGCTATGGGTAGATACTGTGCATAAATAACTTTATGATTTTTAGGAAGATGTAAAAAAAAGTTAATGCAGATTGTATTCTAAGATAAAGTTGTCTTTATCAACATTATAACTGCGTATTCTGTTACGTTACAACATGTGTTTGTCAGGTCATCACATTTAAGATATATAATCAGCTGTTATTCATTTGTATGTACAGATGTATTTGAAGGAGATACATAGAATGCAGGAGTGTGTAGAAGAGCTTCAGAATGAAATGGTACATTTAGAAAGTGTCATGTTCCTATCCCAACAAGATGCTTCAACCGAGAAGAAAAAACTAGACTCTTGGTTTGTTCTGAAAACTTTTATATTTGCATTATTTAATTGGAAATTTATTAAATTAATTTAATGATTGATCAGTTCCTTAAATTTTAAAAATTTTAACATAATTTCCAAAGTAAGAAGAAAATGGAGAAGTACAACACATCAACACCAGAGCTAGTTTAGGTTATTCATTTTCTACCGGTTTCGTTTCTGTTGAACCTTTATCATAATTTGCTTAAATTGCTTATGTAAAAGCCTCTGATGTAAACTTGCTTAGTTGTGCAGCTATAGTTAGTCATACATAGAGGATATTAAATGAGTGTAAGTTCAATACTGAATTTATTGCACAAGTTGAATAAAATTATACTATGCGAGCCTCTGGCGAGCATAATATTGTTATATTCAACAAGTTCAATAAATTCAGTAATGAACTTGCACGAATTTAATATTCTATCTATCACATACCCAAAATAAAGACTGTTGAAAGTGTAAAAAGAATCATTTTTCCTTGACGCGCCTAAAGTATAACGCTAACATTTAGCACTTCTTTACACTATTTTTGTATAACACTAATGACGTCACGTCAAAATATATGCATGGTCGTGCAATACCATATTTACGGAGTCTCAAAATCGGCACGAGTGTGTAATAAAAATGTATACGGTTTCATCTCAAAATTTTATCAAATTTTTAAATTGACTTATTTCACAAATATCCTACTGTAATTTTGAACAGAATATCATCTCCATATTATCCTTAAGGACAGTCATGTAAACTTTCAAGTGAACTTTCAAAATACAAATGTGTTGGGTTTGTTTGATAATAAAAGTTGTTTCCCTTTAGTCATTTATTTGATATAAATTAGGTTACTTTTTTGGTATTACTTAAAAACAAACTCATACACTCAATGTTTACGATAGTGAATAAGCTTAAATATCTTTCTACAAAGAAAAATATGGCAGCATGGTGGAGTTATTAACTCGTCTGACTAATAATGTAAGGATATCTAGTCACTTTCTTAAAACCCTGTCAGGTTGCAAGCCATTGTTCCCGTAAGCAAGAAAATTGACCCTCATTGCTCAGTACTGATTGGTTCTAGGAACAGATTTGAGAGTGTGTCTGTAAACTTAGTGGTAGTTAAACCTTCCTACACACACAAACAAATAAATTGTGTATAAACCAAAAGAAAACTGTTTTTACTGCAATTTACAAATATTTATCTTTACATGAAAGTATTGTTCCTGTTCATCTTAAAATAAATACATCATGTCTTTGTTCACACAAAATGACCATGAATGTTATATTGGATGTTTATTTGCTTTGCTGGCTTTTAAGTCATACCAACACTTTAAACACATGTTGAAAGGTCATTCAGGAATTTCCTAGCTTTACTGATGCAGGAAGACCGTGTACGACCCTCCGTGCATTATGTCTTGTACGATCCTCCGTGCATTATGTCTTGTACGACCCTCCGTGCAATGTCTTGTACGACCCTCCGTGCATTATGTCTTGTACGACCCTCCGTGCATTATGTCTTGTACGACCCTCCGTGCATTATGTCTTGTACGACCTCCGTGCATTATGTCTTGTACGACCTCCGTGCATTATGTCTTGTACGACCCTCCGTGCATTATGTCTTGTACGACCCTCCGTGCATTATGTCTTGTACGACCCTCCGTGCATTATGTCTTGTATGACCGTCCGTACATTATGTCTTGTATGACCCTCCGTGCATTATGTCTTGTTCGACTCTCTGTGCATTATGTCTTGTATTACCGTCCCAACGTTATGTCTTGTACGACCCTCCGTACATTATGTCTTGTACGACCCTCTGTGCATTATGTCAGACACATTTAACATCTTTATAGAACCACCTTGTGTAAGCTGGGCAGATAGCATATTTATTCACTTGATAGATTCAGGTCTGTAGTGAAGAGAGGCATGCAGTTCAAAGTCTGTGACCTTTATCATTGGGTCATGGAAGCCCAGTTTAAGTGTGTATTTTCTAAGCAAGCTTGTTAACTAGGCACCTTTTATATAAAAAAAGATATTCAAATGAATCTGTAACAATAATTAAAACATCATTTCTATAAAGTATCAGTAAGCTAGTTGAATTTGACCATAGTCTATAGAATTAATGAAAACAATTATAGGCTTGGATTGTACATGGATTGTACATTAATCGGTGTGTTTAATTGTTCACACATAGGTCATTACAAGAAAGAGAGAAGGCAAGGAGAAAATTGGAACAGCATAAAAATTTCTTGCAGGAAGCTCTACAAACCTTTATGGAACATATGGAGAACATGCAGGTAGAGTATCTATTCAATATAATCATCATCATTGTAAATGGAACTTTATCCTCATAATTTACTGCAGTCCTGTGGAAGTAACACATTTTCCGAACTGAAATGGACTGCATCGGAAAATTACTATTATTTTTTAATTTATATAATGTTCCTTTTTTAACCAAGAAATAATGAAATTACGGACAAGATTTTGGTTTGTAGAAATTCAAGTCATGTATAATTCTGCTAAATAGACTGCAGTTATCTTTATGAAATTATGGAATTGTAATTCAAAGTATAAAAAATGTAACAAATATCATCATAATTGATTTGTTTGCTTGTCTGATCCATTAGCTAAATAGGGAGAGCATTGGATTTATAATCCAGGTTAACACCAAGGTTATACAGAACCTATGCTCATACTCCTATCTCAGGCATTTGATAGGTCAAAAACCAGCATAGAATTTATATTGACCAATGAAAATCCTGAGATTCGAGACCGATCTCACAAAAAAGTTTTATTATCTACCGACCTGGGGTGGCTGGTTTGATTCTTGGGAGGCAAAATTACTCGATGTCAAATGGTCGCAGACAAAAAGTTTTATATCCATTTGTCGCTCTTGAAATTTTAGGCAAAGTTAGCAGAAGCTCACGAAGATTCTGAAGCCTTGAAAGAGAAAGTTAGACAGGAGGCTTCTGCAAAGGGCATCGAGTGACTGAAGACAGGGTGACATGTGGAACTGTTTGTGTCTACATATCCAAAAAAAACTCACCATGAACTGTGTAGTAGATCAACTCTAGTGCTTGTTTAACTTGTATTATTTGATGAATCAAATAAACGAGACATTGATTAGCTTGGATGTAATTCAGTAGTCTTGTTATGTTAATTCACAAAGACATAGCTGCAGGCATTAGTGTTCCATTAAGATGTTGCTATTACATTCAGTTGTCGCAAAAAAAATAACACATGTAGTTATGGTAGACTGTTTTGCAAGCTGTAAGAAGAGAAATGCAGTTTACCATTATTTTGTCGTTCCTCTGTAGCTTACTATAAGAGAGATATTTAGCTCTTTTTTTTTTTTTTTAAAAATAGAGCTATTGTTATAGTCCTGGCAGCGTTGCAGTTGTCGTTGCTGTCCGCAAACTTTACCTGGATCATAATTTATTTACTTCTTGGTGTATTGCAGGGAATTCCCTAGGATTTTTTTTAAGCGCTACATTTTTTTAGACGGGGTGGGTGCGGGAGGGGGTCTTGACCCCATACCGCGTGTCGAAAAATTTTGCCGTTTTTGGTGTCAAGATACTGCTGTGGGCTGTTTTAAAACAAATAATGAAAGCCCTTCACTTGATAAACATTTTCTTAATTTTTATTATTTATTTTTTCCATATCCATTGATTCAAATAAATAAACAATTATATATAAACACAAGTTCACAACATGTGATTTATCAACATTTATATGTATGTGTGTGTCATTTAAATGAGTATATTTCAGTTGTTTTTTCTTCATTAACATCATTAAAAGTGGGCCTGTCTTCTACCATGCCTTGACTGCCTTCTCAAAGTTGAAAGATTCTAATGGGGGTCCTTGAAGGGAGACGGCAAGAAGATAGTTTAGAACTTTAACAGAGAGACAATTCCTGTTTTCAGTCTTAACTCTCTTCAGGCAGCTGAATCCTCGCTCATAATCTGAAATTAATAAATGAAAGTAATCATTTATGTTAACCTCATGTCTTTTGTTTATTTTGTTTGTTTGCTATGAATTTTTGAAAATTTATTACTTCTAGCCTGTTTAAACTTAACTAAGTAAAAAAAATTATATTTGAAATGTTGAAAAACTTCTAGCAAAGTGTTACACATCTGCAACTGTCATTGGAATTTCATTAATGTCCAAGAATGAATCAATTTAATAACAATTACCTGCAGTAGAGGTTAGGAGGACATCTTCTAGTGAATGTCAGACATAATCCCCTTCGGACAAAATCCCCTTCGCTAACCCGGACAAAATCCCCTTCATGGGTGGACATAATCCCCTTCATGTTTTTGAAAGGCTGGACAAAATCCCCTTCATAACCCGGACAAAATCCCCTTGTTTCATAGGTTTCTAATGTATGATTATGCTCCATAAAAATTGATGAATAATGAACTTTTGTTTTTTTTATTTATTTATAATTATGTACCAATAGTTCATCTTTATTTAGTTTAGAAGTTTTTATTAAAATTATGGTAAATTATCAACTGCATAACACATATTTGATTAGGAAATTTCTTAAATTGTTTTAAATTGATTAGTATGAAAAACATTTTTATTAACCAATAATTGTTTCATTGATAGTATAAGTTGATAATTCTTAATGATATATACTATCAATTGTTACAATTTCTATTGATGAAAGAGTGATAATTTAATCAAACCAAGATCACTGCACTGCTTGATTGATTGTTATGAATGCTTTAACAAAGCAATTTTAATGTGATTAAAATGTGCTAATTGAATGTGCTTTTCTGCTGAAATAATTTCTACTTATTTATACATTAAGATATTTACCACACAGCATAATGCAGTATGTCGCTCTCATACCCACTTTATAAACCGAAAATTCCTCTGAGGGGGATTTTGTCCTAGGTAGCAATTTTATGAAGGGGATTTTGTCCACTTCAAAATTTCACACATGAAGGGGATTATGTCCACCCATGAAGGGGATTATGTCCAGATATACAAAAATACATGAAGGGGATTTTGTCCGAAGGGGATTATGTCCGTACACCGAGGAGGAGACCCACAGCAGCAATTCTGTAAAGATCGAGCTGGATGACTGGTAGAAAGGTTGCCGGTTATCAAGGTCATGGTCTGATCAGTCCCCTCTAGACTGGCATGTACCTGGTGCCAGTGACTGCGGCACTGCTCCATATCTACACCAAAGTGCCTGGCCAGCTCCTGTATGTCCTGACAAACCAATGCTAAGGGGCATGGACAGTAGATTGCACTTCACAAAGCTGTCCATGAACAGGCTCGATTAAAGAGGGCCTGCAAAATTAATATTTTTTTCATTTTGGGGATTCAGTTAACAGAAACAGTTTACAAGATATTTTTACTCATTTTTTTTTTCAATTAAAAAAGAAAATGACCAATGGGCTGTCACTAAGTGGGATTGTTGATGTAAAGTTTTTGTTGTTGTTTTCACTCAGTTGCAAGTTGATAATGAACAGTCGATAAATGTTTTCAATGTTAAAGTAGCCTTTCAATGTTAAAGTAGCCATCAACCAAATTTATTTCTGAATATCTGTGCAGTTTAATCCAAGTAAAATACGATTATCATGTATATATTAAAAAGCAAAATGATCCTGAGACAGTCTCAACGACATTGCTCACAAAAAACCTAGTTCTGGCTTCCATAAATTTATATGTCGCTTTTATTTTGACGTCGTGCGACAGGTCTAGCAGTACTATAAAACTGTTCGCTGAAGTATCTTTAGCTAAAAAAAATCCTTAATTGATAGTGAACTAGGCGCTGGCCTCTTTCTTCATCAGGTTAGCCATATTATTTTTTGAAATCTTAATACCACAGTACTGCTTAGACGTAACGATCGTAAGAAAGTGAAAGATGAAATTGAACATTACACTTATATCAAGATAAATAACCCATTCATCCCTAAATATCAAACTGTTATATCGCATGTCAATTAATGCCAATTATAGTATCAAAACAATAAAAGTTATTACACCTACCTGAAACATGTAAATATCACACATGCCGAGGTTAAATTGCACTAATCTCAATACACGGTAATTGACAACACCTGAAAGTGCACCAACAGTCGTTTGCAGACATCGATGACAGGTGTCTGTGACGTCACACAGTCTCAAGGCAATCAGTGTATCGGGTTGTTTATACGCCTCGGGTAATTATCTACACAGGACATGTATATTGGCTTGTATATTTGGCTAAGTGGGGTTAACTTAAAGACACAAAAGAAAGGAATATCGGTCATTTTTTATAGCGCTATGATAATTTTAAGCGCATCGGGATTTTTTGTTCTGAAATTTTAGCGCATCGGTGCCGATGCGCTAAAAGCGTCTGGGGAATTCCCTGGTGTATTGTCTTCATACATGGCCACAACAACCCTTGGGACAAAACCTTTCAGTAGACCACACTAACCTTGATCTTCATGCATAAATGACCTTGACCTTCAAATTCCAAAGTCCAAATTTTGCTTGTTCTTGCTATTATTGGCTGTAACTTTGTTATTATGCCCCCACAATGTGGGAGCATATAGCGTTGCCCTTGTCCGTCCGTCCATCTGTCCGTCCGTCCGTCTGTCAACTCCTCTTAAACCGGATGGCAGATTTTGATTAAACTTCCAGGGATGAACAACCTTAATGTGTAGATGGTAGTAAAGGAAGGAATTTTTGCTGCGACCAAATTTAACAGAATTATGGCCCTTTGTTGATTTTTTCACTATACTATGTAGAAATTTTGTGAACGCAACTCCTCTTAAACCGGATGGCAGATTTTGATTAAACTTCCAGGGATGAACAACCTTAATGTGAGGATGGTAGTAAAGGAAGGAATTTTTGCTGCGACCAAATTTAATAGAATTATGGCCCTTTGTTGATTTTTTCACTATATACCATATAGAAATTTTGTGAATGCAACTCCTCTTAAACTTGTTGGCAGATTTTGCTTAAACTTCCTGGGATAAACAACCTTAATGTGTAGATGGTAGTAAAGGAAGGAATTTTTGCTGCGACCAAATTTAACAGAATTATGGCCCTTTGTTGATTTTTTCACTATATACCATATATATGTTGTCAGTTCAAATAAAAGCCCTGGGGGTCAAAATTGGCCCCGAACCAGGGGGGTCATTGATTTTCCTTATATGTGTATAGCAAAAACTTAAAAAACCTTCATTGAAAAAATCCCAAAAAGCTAGAGTTTAGATATTTAGCATGAAACATGTTCTAATGGGTGTCCCAAGTTTGTTCAAATAAAAGCCCTGGGGTCAAAATTGGCCCCACCCCGGGGGGTCATTGATTTTCCCTATATGCATATAGTAAAAACTTAAAAAATCTTCTTTTAAAGAACCAAAAGAGTTAGAGCTAAGATATTTAGCATGAAACATGTTCTAATAAGTGTCTACCAAGTTTGTTCAAATAAAAGCCCTGGGGTCAAAATTGGCCCCGCCCTGGGGGGTCATTGATTTTCCTTATATGTGTATAGCAAAAACTTAAAAAATCTTCTTTGAAAAAACCCAAATAGCTAGAGTTAAGATATTAAGCATGAAACAACTTATAGTGAGTGTCTACAAAGTTTGTTCAAATAAAAGACCTGGGGTCAAAATTGGCCCGGCCCCGGGGGTCATTGATTTTCTTTATATGTGTATAGCAAAAACTTAAAATCTTCTTTGAAAAAACCCAAATAGCTAGAGTTTAGATATTAAGCATGAAACATCTTCTAGTAAGTGTCTACAAAGTTTGTTCAAATAAAAGCCCTGGGGTCAAAACTGGCCCGGCCCCAGGGGTGTCATTGTTTTTAACTATATGTGTATAGTCTTTATACAGGTGAGCGACCTCAGGGCCATCATGGCCCTCTTGTTTTTTTATTTTTTTTTTTTCTCATGCTCAAAGTCCCTTTTTTGTACACTGATTAATACAAACCTTATTAGTTTTCTTTATAGATATGTTTTTATGCCCCCGGGCATATAGTAATTGAACCGTTAGTCTGTCTGTCCGTCCGTCTGTCCGTACGAGGTTAACCTAGAACGGCAAGTTGGATTTTTCTTAAGTTGTACCTGTACCAATGGCTTCTTAGTTTACACACTTACTAATCAATACAAAGTACATGATCTGGGCAAGTTACATAACTCTGGCTTTCATATTTACCAAGTTATTGCCCTTTTCACCACTTAGAAAATGAATAATGGTTAACCTAAAACGGCAAGTTGGAAATATCTTAAGTTCTATCTATACTAATGGCTTTATAATTTCCACACTTACTTATCAATACAAAGCACATGATATTGCCAAGTAATATAAC